ACCTACTGACACCCTACCACCAACTTACTGACACCCTACCACCAACCTACTGACACCCTACCACCAACTTACTGACACCCTACCACCAACCTACTGACACCATACCACCAACTTACTGGCACCCTACCACCAACTTACTGACACCCTACCCTATGTTATTATTGCAGCCACCAATGAAAGCTTCAAGGAGACAGGCTGGTTTGACCATATGAAGAAGAGATGGGCTGTGGTAGATAATTTGGCTGAAAATCGTCTTTATCAGTTTGTTACTGTGGGTAGAAATAAGTTTGGAAGCAGTCCTGATAGTCCCCCCACAGATGCTCGTCCTGTGCCGTCAGTGGGTGAGATGAACATTCTAAATTATCAAAATATGCTGATAGATAAACAGATTGATGGACCACATTTATTGTGCTTTCATAATTCTATGCACGAGCTTTTGACAGTTTAACATACAAAGCCTGTGTATAAAAGTATGAGAATAACTTCTCACCTGTCATACTTGTGCATGTTGCTCTGTGATACTATTTACCATAGTAAAGCAATTGTTTTTTGTTTTCCATCGTAGCATCTGGCAAGAGAGAGGCTACTCCATTCTTCAAAGCACCATGGTTTATCATCCTAATCGTTCTCATTATTCTTCTCTTATTGGTCGTTCTGATTGCTCTTCTGTATCGAAGACGCCGTGGGGCTAAGTATCCTGGTAGGTCCTTCACACAATGTTCAATCTTCACAAAGGTTGTCACACAAAATGTTCAGTTTTATACAACCTTGAAATTACCTCGATGGTGATCAGAATTAGGGCACATAACCAATAAATTGTGAAGCTCAAGAGAATGTCTATACCTTCTCTTAGAAGAACAGTAATGTTATAACTCCTTCCCTCACCCCCATTCCACCCTGGAAGATCCTTCAAGAAAGTTCTGAAATGAAGTACTCCAGTGGTAACCATTTTCTGGACCTCCTCCACAGGAGAAAGAATTGGTTGGGGAGGTGGAATGAAATGGATGGGAGGGATGGATAGGATGGAATGGGTGGGGAAGGATGGGAGGGATGGAATGGATGGGGAAAGATGGGATGGATGGAATAGATGGGGAAGGATAGGAGGGATGGAATGCATGGGGAAGGATGAAACATAGAGGGAGTAAAAATTCAGGCAGTTGAATTATGAATTTAATTTGCCATCTTTTTTCCTTAGTTGGTAAACGAGAAAAAGAAAGAGCAGCTATTCTGGATCAGCCTGATGAAGAGGAAGGGATGGATATGTCCAAGTAAGTTGATACACACACACGCACACAGGGAACAACACACTTGAAACACTGAACTTATTATTACACTAATGTAAACCATATAATTTCCGAGAACCTTCCTCATGCCCTTCCGTGCTATCTAATGAGATATATTTGCTTGAATTTTTGTTTGTTGTGAGTTAGTTTACCACACATCATTCTCCTGATCAAAACTCGGTCGCTTTAAGGTTATCATAGGCAGATAAGGGAATACCTTTATAATATTTCATAAACGGATTAAAAAATCTGGTTTGTTCAATAGCATTGTTTCAATTTTTCGTACCCTGTAACCCAAAATCTTCTATTCACCTACTGTATTAATATACTTGGTGTTGTATGTGAGTAGAGTTGTTTGTTGGTTCTCTCCTGTTCTTCAAGGGTTTTTCTAATGGTTTTCTGGTTTTCCTCCCTCCACAAAAATCAAATTCTATTTCAATCCATATTGGTTGCCTTGTAATGGGTTTTAGACCTGTTGGCTATGTAAGACCTGTTGGCTATGTAAGACCTGTTGGCTATGTAAGACCTGTTGGCTATGTAAGAC